ATAATAAATATATTTTTTTTTAGTAATATTAAATATTTTATTTTTTGTATATATAATATATATTTAATAAATAATATAAAATACTTATATATTTATTAGTATATTTAGGGAAAATACAAAGAATTAATACATTTTATTTTTATTAATATTTTGATCTCAAAAATACTTTTTTTACAATATACCTTCTTTTATTTATTTTGTACATAATTAATAGATATTACATATATTATATAATAAATACCTTTTATTCATAAAATTAGGGTTTTACCCTAAATACATAAAAATACCCAAAATTATTTTTGTTTATTTAACACATGAAAAATACCTTCTACATACATATGAAAACCATTTTTGCATTTTTTGCATATTTATCTTATCTTATTTAAATTATTGTGCAATTAATTAATTTGTATAATTTCAATTTGGATGTAATATTTAGGTTTAATTTCATGCTAAAATATCCCCATTTGAACATTTGTATCCCCCATCCCATATATTGTGTTGTAATAACTTAGGACCTTTTATTTTTCGCATTTAAAAGCTTTCTAATTATGCCATGTTAGAATTAGGATTTTGTATGCAAAATTAACCAAAAATAGTTTGACCTAATTTCAAGATAAACAAGCATGAAAATGGACAACACTAATCACACTTGCACCCTTAGGGTTACTCCACTTGTTGCCTTCAAAAATGGGCCATATTGCATATTAGGTATCTTTGGCAAAAAACAAAACAATCAAATGATCATAGTCCCTCGATGACGCTTTCGAAAGTTGCCTAAAAATGATCAAGTCCCTTAAAGGAAAAATTGCCCAAAGATACTTGGCACCATTGCAATCATGGTCTAAACGATGACCCGCGCCCGTCCCGTTAACATCCTAACACAAGATTGTCCACCAAATACAATGGTGGAACAAAATTGTTAAAAGGGTTAAAACATAGCAAAGATCTTTGAGAAATTTAGGGTAGATAGCTCTTGGTTACTTGCCAACTTGCAAAACAAAAACCCTTGCCTATTTTTCAAAACACACCTCACAACACATTTTCAAAATAACTTTCAAAAACATTGAAAACTTTTCAAAAGACATACATCTTTGTATACATCCCAACATGGATCATTACAAAGGTTGCCACCACATTGGCCTCTTTTCAAAACATTTTCAAACCCACACACAAAGCACCACTTCAAACAATTGAAAGCACCATTTCAAACAATTGAAAATGCAAGGCAAGTGATATAAGAAAGTAACTAAGAGCCCATGGATAACCATGGATAGAAAGGGTGCTAATACCTTCCCTTTCTATAATCTACTCCCCGAACCCAAGAAAACATCTCAAAGGTTTTTGCTGTGCTTTTTAACCTTTCCTTAGGATAAAATAAAAAGTCGGTGGCGACTCTTGCTCAACCGAAACATTTGCAAAAACAAACGTAAAACCCTAGTCAGTTCTCCCACCGTATCACACCATCCCTGAGTCTATGATCGCTCTACAACAGTCTCCAAGAAAAGGTGGTGTGTATTCTGACTTTAAAAATCACTCTAATTAAATATGAGTCTTAATCATGTAAAGATTTATATGGGATGGCATACATTACTACAAAAAGTGCTTTTAACATCGGACGTGAAATACGTTTTACCTCGACTAATGAAGCGAGGTAACGAAGGGCGTCATGAAAATTTGTCAATTAACACCTCAGTGAATTAAAAACTGAGGGGGTATAGTTATATGCACATGAGTTCGAACCCCAACAACAGCAAATTTTATTATTTTCAAAACTAGCGTATCTTTTATCTCAGTTTATCCAAATAATTGAAGAGTATGATTATTTATTTATTTTAAAAATCGTTATATTGTTTACCCAAAAATATTATATTATTTACCCAAAATATTAAAATTAAAATTAAAATCAAATTTCCTAGGGATCCAGATAAAAATCAAATTCCCTTAAGATTAGACTTTAGATTTTCGAATAATTGAATCTAGGTGAAGATCAAATGTTGAATGCAAGATTATTCTCTATGGATCTTGCATGCATTTGTCTCTGGTGAAAAAATGGTAAGATAATTAATATCGATAATCAAAAATATTTTTGGTACAAATAAAAATTTAGTAAAACAAACCTTGAACCCAGGTGATTTTTTTCTCTTGTAATCCTTCATAAAGAACTTTTCTAAGCGTCCTTTGGTTTCAAGTGTTTCATATGTTTCATTTAGGTTAGATTTTCAATATCGTAAGAGAATTTTTATAATAGATGTCCCTTAGGTTTCACGCGGATCACTAATGACAAATTTTTTAGTGTTGATAACCATTAAATGGACGACAAAGATTTGTTAAGGCTGATGCATATAGAAAAAAATTAATCTAAACTTTCACCTCGATCATGACAAAACTCTGAGGTAATAAGATTTTTTTTTAAATTAAATTATTTTCACAGAATATTAAAAATACATTGTATGCAATAAGATTTAGATGATATTGAGGTCCCATGAAAGATGCTAGAGAATTTTAATTTTCTGCACTTGCAATCCATCCAAGAGATATGAAATTGACGATGGTAAATATTTCCTCTCTTTGGGACGCTTTCATAATATTATGAATTAGGGAAATTTTTTGTTTAATGAGTGTTTTTATAGTAAAATAAGATTATTATACCCCTCGATTTATTTATAAAATCGAGATATATTTTCATCTCCTTTTAACTATCACCTCGGTTAAGATGAAAAACCAAGTGATAACTATTATTCTTTTTTTTTTAATATTCTATTGTTTACACAGAAAATTAAAAGAAATTATTTATAATAAATCTCTTCAATGATTTTTCTACAATTGCAATAAATCATAATGGTGTTAATAATTGAATGTCAGAACTTTGCATCTAAAATTGATTGTTGATTCTATCATTATCACTGCTTTCATTAACGTATACAATGTACATACTTTGAATGCATCCAACTTCTAATAAGGTGTTTGCTCAAAAAATTAAAAATATTTTTTCTGCACTTGCAATCCATCAGTAAGAACTTTTAGGAATAAATTCTCAATATTGTCAACCTAAGAAAATCATAATTGTTTTCTTCGATTTACAATATGGGAATGTTGCTCAAAACCTTCAACAACAACAACAACATCGATACCATTGTTTGAGATAGATTGTAAAAGCTGAAAAAATATTTTGTCCAAGGTAGAAAAATATTTTTCCAGTTTTACAATTTATCCCAAAAAAAAAAAATAATGCGTGCGACGGTGGAACAACTGCAAATAAGATAACATTAGAGTAAAATTTATTTAACGGATGTTTTATAGTAAAATCAGATTATTTTATTCCTCGATTATCACTGAAATAGAAGAGTTAAATCATTTATTTTACACTTGTAAACAAATAAAAACATAAATTGCACTGGCTGGTATTCAAATCATGTCCGAAATAGTTTATCCTCTCGATTTTTATATTAATCGATGGAACAAGTTTTTTTTTTATAAAAAAATAAAATATGACGCGCTTTAGAATAATACTTCGATTTTTTTTTATTGATGTAAAAAATTTGTCATGAAAAATATTATTTGTTATAGTAATATTTATTTATGCACAATTATTGAGGAAGTATCTTACGTTATTTTAGAAACTGTTTTATAAATTCAAATAAAATATAGAAGGATTATTGAAAATTAGATACAAGCAGTGTTTTAAAACGTAGTCCGACCCGGCCAGTCGGACCGGTCTGACCGAGAACCGGTGGGCCAGGTGGTCCAATTAAGGGATAAGACCGGAATTACATTTAGACCGGATGAAACCGGTGTGAACCGGCCGGATCACTGGTTAAACTAGTGAACCGGTGATTTTTACTGAACCGGCGGGTTTGACTATTTATTTTATTTTTTAGGGCTTTTGAAAAAAATATTAACATAAACGCTTTGCCTCCTCGTTTCCCAAACCTAGGCATTTGAAAGGTTTTCTTTTTTATTCTGTCTTTTCTTTTTCTAATTGAAGTCATATTCTCAATTTTCTCTACCAACAAAAACTCCCACTTGCTGCTGTTATTTGATATTCCTTGTTTGCCGTCAAAAATTTCATCAAAACATCAAAAACAAGTTATTTCTTTTTTACTTGGTCTAATTTGTATTGATGTTTTTCAATATGAATATTATTGTTTCATTTTGTTGATTAATTGATATAGAAAATAAATGATTAAATTTGATCATTTTCTATAAAATTGGGTCTTTTAGTTTAACAAATTGAGATAGAATTTGTATGAATGAAGCAATTTTATACTTTTATGAATTAACTTATTATAGACTCGTAATGAAGTTGTTGTATATTGGAGATAGAAATTGGGATAGATATATATTATTGTAATAGTCGTTGTATATATTATGGAGATAGAAATTGGGTTTAAAACTATGTAATCTAAATTATATAGTAAGACAAAATTTTCTGTTTTTTATTAATTTAAATTATATAACAAAGAAAAGTTTCAGGATTTTATTAATCTAAAATATATAGCAAAGGCTGGAAAACAAAGTTTCTATTTTTTTATTATATATGGTGATGCACAGTAATGATGCTTGGTAGCATATATGTAATATACAACAATATATTCATATATTTTAGATTTAGATATGCTACATATTTAATGTTTCTTATAATGTTTTTATAAATTCAATAAATTTTGTTTAGAATTGTGTTTTGTTAATATTTTTGTAATATAGTTTTGTATTTTTAAATTTTGATTGATATTAGATATGGCATCACCCGCTGAAGTAATAACTTCGGAAGAAGTTACATCTCAAAATCCAACTCAACTCCAGAGCAGTAGGGAAAAAACTGATATAGCTTGGGATCATTGTAAACAAATTGAAGAGAAAGGAAAACTTGTTAATTTGTGTATTTACTGTGATAAAATTATTAGAGGAGGGGGTATTAATAGGTTCAAATTCCATTTGGCTGGAATAAAAGGTCAAGTTGAAACATGTAAAAAGTGCCTCCAGATGTTCAATATCAAATGAAACAAAATCTTGATGAAGGTGCAAATAAGAGAAGAAAGACTCAAGCACAAAATTTTGATGTTGATCTTACTACTCAAGAGGGTGGTGTAGTAGAAATGGATGTAGAACAATCAAGATCAAATTCGGTGATTGTGTCTCAAAAGAGAAAGAATACTAGTCGTATTGGTAATTATTTTATGCCTAGAACAACTCCTGGAGCTCAACCTTCTTTAAAAAGTGTGTTACAAAGTAAGGAATTGGTGGAGAAGTGTGATCTAGCTATTACAAGATGGTTCATTGATTCTTCTGTGCCATTCAATGCAGCTAATTCTGCGTATTTTCAATCTATGGCTGATGCACTTTGCAGCATGAGTCTGGGGTATAAAGTTCCAACTATGCATAGTCTTCGTGGCTATTTGTTAAATAAATGGGTTGAAGATGTGAACAAATTGATAGAGGAGTATCGTGAGATTTGGAAGAAAACTGGTTGTACTCTAATGGCCGATGGATGGACTGATCGAAAAAGAAGAACTCTTATAAACTTTCTAGTTTATTGTTCCAAAGGTACTATTTTTCTAAAATCCGTTGATGCTTCTCATGCTTCAAAAACTGCAGATATGTTGTATAAGCTTTTTAGAGAGGTGGTTTTATTTGTTGGGCCTGAAAATGTAGTTCACATAGTGACAGATAATGCTGCAAATTATGTTGCTGCTGGAAGGTTATTAGAAAATGAGTTTCCTACTTTATTTTGGTCTCCTTGTGCGACACATTGTATTAACTTGATGTTGCAAGACATGGGAAAATTAGAGGAAGTAAGTGAGACAATGTCACATGCTTCTAATGTTACCAAATATATTTATAACCATTGTTATGCATTGTATTTAATGTGAAAGCAAACAGGTGGAAGAGAAATCCTTCGTCCTGCTCCAACTCGGTTTGCCACTAATTTCATTGCTTTGTAAAATATTTTGTCTCACAAAAACTCACTAAGAGCCATGGTAACATCTAAAGAATGAACAAGCTCAGCATATGCCAAAGAAGCAAAGGCAAAACAGTTTGTGGATCAAGTTTTAGATTCTGGATTTTGGAGTAAATGTGCTGATGTAGTTAAACTCACTGAACCACTTGTGCGTGTGTTGCGTATTGTTGATAGTGAAGATAAACTTGCTATGGGCATTCTATACAAATCTATAATCAAATCTAGAGAGGAGATGGTGAGGAGGTTTCAAAGAAATAAGAAGAAAGTGGATCTTTACTTGAAAATCTTAGATAAACGTTGGGATTCACAGGTCCGCAAAAATCTTGATGCTGCCGGTTATTGGTTGAAAATAGCTTGTAGATATAATGATGTAGAATTTGATAAACATGCATCTACAACATCATGACTTTTAGATGTCATTGAAAAGCATGCTAATGGAAATTCTGAACTTCGATTGAAGTTAACAGATGAGATGAGAATATTCAAAGACGGTGAATTAGATTTTGGAAGGAAATCAGCTGTGGATGAACGATGTATTGTGAGGACAGGTAATTTCATAACTTCTAACTCTTGATATATATTTTATTTTATATTTCAATATGTTTATAAATTTATTTAATCACATGGTATAAACAGATCAATGGTGGGAAACTTATGGCACTTGTACACCAACTTTGCAAAGGTTAGCTATTCGTATTTTAAGCCAAACTTGTAGTGCTTCAGGTTGTGAATGCAATTGGAGTATATTTGAGCATATTCATTCCAAAAAAAGAAATAGATTGGAGCACAAAAAACTTAATGATTTAGTGTTTGTTCGTTACAACTTGAGACTTCAAAATAGGTATTATTATAGTTATTTTTCTCTGATCATTATATTTTTATATTTAAATACATATACTTAAATTTAATTCATGTGTGCTTAGGAAAATAAGAAATGAGAGTTATGATCCTATCAATATTGAAACAATTGCCGACCATTCTAGTTGGGTATTAGAGGATTCACCACCTCTCTTAACCAATGAAGAGTTGGAAGCATTGTGGAATGACCTTGCAAATATGACCATCCAACCAATTTCAAGTGATATTGGTATGTTCTAATATGAGCATAATATAGTTTGTGGTTGTGAATCAATTTAATGTCTCATATTTACCATCTCTAAAAATTTTTTGTTAATTATTTTTTAAAATATTATTATAGATCAAATAGATTTAGATGAGGATGAAGATTGAGATATGAGTAATGCACAAGATACTATTGTTGATAATGTGAATAAAAAAAAACAACACCAGAGAAGATGAAGATGGATATGAATATCAAGATTATGACAATTTGACTTCATGGACATAAAAAATTATGAATCGTTGAGTATGAATTTTTGTGACTTATTATAATACTATAACTTATGAATTGTTAAGTTTCTATCACTTCTTTGAATTTATAATCTGCTACATTAAATTTCTATCACTTATTTTGATTGTTATTAATACTTTTGTTTATTCTAAATTATTTGAATTTATAATTTTCTATATTATTATAGTTACAAATTTTATATTTTTTATAGAAACCGGGTCAAAAGGATGCGGTCTGACCAGTGACCCATTGGTCCGACCAGTAACCCAGTGATTCAGTAACTTTATTGAATCGATCACCGGTCTGGATTTTAAAACATTGGATACAAGTGTGGTTTAAAATTCAAGCGTATGATGCTAAAACATTCGCATAAATAATTGAAAGATGAGAATTTTGTTGAAAAAATATATAGGTGAGGACGAACATGACAATTGGTCGATAGTGGTGATTATCAAACCAAACAGATCACCATCGTATCCAACATGAACTGAGATCCAAAACCAATTTATTGTCAATACAGTAATTTCCTTTTCACTAACAAATTTCTCATCACACAAATCGAATAATACATAAACAAGTAAATCAAACAACTATACACAATAAACACCAAGTTCAAACACATGATCAAAGTGCCATCAAAGTTCATATTGCAACGCATGATCTGATTGTGAATAAGTTGAGTTAGAAGTGATGACAGAAGCATGTGTTGGAAAGATTAATCTTAAAGAACGTTCCATTCTTTCTAAATAGGAAACTTGTGGTTCACTATTGAAAGCTATTTGACCTAATCGGAAAAGAAACAACCTCGTTTGATAAAGTGCTTCATCTTTGAAGAATCTGAAACCGAACAACAACTTGAGCAGCAAAATGATACTACTAGAAACACCAGCTACTGCAGGTGCTGTTAGATGTAAATGAAGCATCAATGGACTCACCATCATATGCAGTACCATTTTCGAGTATATGTGCAAGATGAGGATTCAAGTTTTAGACTTATCCCTTTCAAATGTACTATAAATAGTCTAATAAGTAAAATATAATTTTCTATAATCATGGTTTATTATTTATTTTCATTGATATATAGTAACGTGGTTTATTACTTTAATGTTGTTTGAAAAAGACGAAGTTGAGATAAATGTATATTTTAATCTTGAGCCCTACCATGACCACGATAGATTTTAATATCCAAAAGCTAATCCACATGGGATTTTATTTAGGTGAATTCTTATTCATGCACTATCCGCACTGATATATATAAATAGATTCGCTTAATTTGGTTAGACTATGCCAAAGTTTGTTTTAGGCAGTACATCACATACAACGTTTGTTTTTCCCTCCCAAAGCACGGTTATAAGTTAAAAAAGATAAAAATCTAAAATTATATATTAGATTGAGAAAAAGTGCTGTTAAAAGCTAATTTTAGAAAGTGATTTTGAAAAGAGTTGCTAAAGGTCATACATACGAGAACACTTTTTAAAAAAAACACTGCTAGAGACACATTTTAGAAAACGCTTCTGAAAAGTGTTGTTAAAGGATGTTCTTTAGAAAGCGTTTTATAAAAGCGCTGATATAGGCCATACATTATAAATCGCTTTTTATGAAAAAATGCTGCTAAAAGAAATACATTAGAAAGGACTTCAGATAGCGTTGCCTAAGATCATTAATTTCTAAATAACAAAACTTATGTACAGTACCATAACTTAGAAATTTCCAATTCTTTTGAAACCCTAAAAGTTCCGCCTCCGTTCACCCTCTATTTCTGACTTTTGTCATCCTACCATCGACTGATTCACCACAACTGTGCACAGCCGCACATTCTTCCTTCAGCCAGCACCGCCAACCTGGCTTCCTTTTTTTCCTTTTCATTCTCCTCCCCGATGTTTCAACTGCACCACGAGTTCCTCAAAATATTTCAACTTCAAAATTTGTCGTTTCAACTTAGAGGTAAGGGTTTCTGATCCTTCCTTTCCACTTTAATGTTGTTCCTTTGATTGAATTGGGGTTTGAGTAGTTTTTAGTGCTCTATTGAATTTGTTCTATGTGATTTTCAGTATACAATGTCTATAAACTGATTTTTACGATACCTTTCTTCCTTGAAACATTGATTTTTAGGATATATAAATTTGGACCTATTTTCGTATCCATAATTACCACATTGATTGTTAGTGAGGAATTGTTAAAATCAATTGATGATAATGACATTGTTGATGGATAATTGTTAGTGATTACTTTGTTTTGATCTATTTGTTGATTGAAAATGATAATGAAATTAATTGTTAATTGTTGAGGTTGAAGATGATGAATAGTGTGACATTGTGAATTTATTTTTGATAGCCAATGGTGATGTTGTTGATTGAAACTTGAATGAAATTCATGAATTAATTGTTGAAGATTGTGATGTTGTTGATTGTTTGAACTCTTGTTAATGATGAAGTTGCTATTGCGTTTAATTGTGGAATTGGTAATTTTGGTGATTGATTTATGCTCAAATTGTTGATTCTTTGTTGGATAGAACTTTGAAGTTAATTGAACTTACGTGATGAAGTTTTTTTTGTGACTTACTTGAGTTGAAACATTAAGTGTTGATGTGTCATTTGTGATGAATCAAAGTATACCATGCTACTTAAATTAATGTGATTAAATTTGTGCATCGATGCCATGCATGCTATTTTGTTTAATTCATGTTAACTTTGAGTTGAATTTTCGCGTCAATGCCATGCTACTTGATATCCATGTTAATTTCAATGTGTTTGCGCGTCAATGGTACCTTCTGATCATTCATTTATATAACTTCTCATTCCTTTTTTTTTCCAGCGTGATCAACGTTGGTCAAGAATATATTTGCTAGAGGTTACTTGTGAAAAGTGAAATTCTAATCGTTTCCAAGAATCTTACACTGTATGGTTCCAGAAGTTGCTGACTTCTCTACAGGTAACTAGTTGTTCGTTTGCTATAGTTGTGAGAATAATTAGTGTTTTTGTTTAGCTTACTTAGTAAAACCATGGATAAAAAATGGATGTCTTCCAATTGATTATCAAAAGAGTACGAAAATTGGGTATTAGAATTCATTAAGTTTGTCGTTGAACACGCCAAAGACCCCAGTCGAATCACATGTCCTTACTTAAGTTGTTGTTATGGGCGTCAAATTGACGCAGTTGAGTTGGAATCGCATTTAAAGAGTCATGGAATTGATGAAGTTATACATGTTGGACATTACATGGTGAGATAAGTAACAAGAATGTTGAATTGGGGGATAATGCGGCATATGCTTCAAACGACAATGGCACAGATACATACGATTGTGATCGAGTCGAAAAGATTGCAGAAACACTTGAAGAAGATCTTCAGGATTGTCCCAAAATGTTTGAGAGGTTGGTAAGCGATACATAGAAACCGTTGTATAAAGGTTTCACTAAACTCACAATATTTTTATTCTATATTTATTTTATTAACTAAACTTGACTTGTTCTAAAATTATAATATTTTGTTTATATAGAAATTCTATAAGATATTCCCACAATCTTTTGAAGATTTCTTAGACTAAGATTTTACTTATGTGAGCTTTATACAATATTTGTACTATCTCTTATAAAAAATTTTTAAGCAAGGTATATTGATAAGAGAACTAAAGGTTCTCAATCTCGATTACAAAAAGCGAGATAAAATCTCGACAAAAGAAAAATTACTAATCAATTGTACTTACGATAAATAAAACAAAGGATTTTGGATAAACTCGTAAAAATTACAATTGGAATGAGTAATATCTCTAATGAGAGACCATCTCCAAACCATGGCCTTAATGTTCCAAACAACATCAACATGTTCCAAACTTCATTCCTGAAAATGATGTTATTCCTTAAAGTCCAAAGGTTCCAAATAATCGGCAACTAAATGCATCCTTCTTTTCCTATTTTCACTTTTTTAGACTTGCAAAAAGAATATCAACCCATAAAACTCCCCTTAAAACTATCTACCAAAAGATCCTTGAAACAGATCCATTCCGCCATCTCCATCCACACCAACACTGCAACCCGACATAACAGAAGGGAATGTTCCAAGCTTTCCCCAACAACCAAACATAGAATGCAAGAAAGGTCCTCATCAAGAAAATTGATACCTCTAATCTTCAATAAATCCCTTGTTGGAAATCTGTTGATGAAAATCCTCCAACCGAACACCTTGATTTTGAAGGGAATCTCCGACTTCCATACCAATTCTAAAGCTTTATCAAACTTATTTAGTGGAACAAAAGGAACATTAAAACCAATAATTAAATCGAAGAAGGATCTAAAAATATAATAATGATCAAAATATTTGACCTAAACAATCCGATCTTTCCCAGCAGAACCTGGAATAAACTCAGCCAGAACTTCCCGAAGCAATAGTAAATCGCCTGCCAATGCTGGAAGCTCTGATGCTGGGATCCCAAAACCTTCCTAATGCCATTCCCCATTGTTCCAAACCCTAATCCCCACAATCGACACATCCTGCAAAAGAGGGAGCAAAAACAGAACAGGAAAAACTCCTTCAAACTACTTTCAGCAGTCCAGACTGCGTGCCAAATTAAAGTAGAAAACCACTGCCAATTTGAAACCTGTAGTTCTTGTCAAAAACATCTTCCGACAATTTCTTCTCAAGGGATAGAATATCCATCCACCACAAATATTTATAGGTCCTATTGTTACAAGAACTTCCCACATTTACCACATGCAGATTGATATCTCCGTAATGAGCCTTCAAAATATTATACCATAAAAAATTTGATCCTTCTAAAATCCTCCACCCAAAGCCAAGTTGAAGTCTTTGATCCTTCTTAGACTGGGACCTCATTTATATACCGGTAAACAAACATCCTTCCATCTAACCCTATGTATCCTTC